GACCAGTTCAAGGGATTCTCTCTCTCTCTCTCTCTCTTTTTAATGCGGGATGTGAGTCAGGGGATCTATTCCAAGGTTCTTTAATCCCTCTGTCCCCTTGCCTGGGTTTGGAGATTTAGAGGGGTACCTAGGCCATTTTTCATAGGAGAGAACAGAGTGACTTAGAGCTGCTGTGTTCTTTCTGCTCCTTCTTCCCCACACCTCTTTTGTAAAAGTAGTATCCGCTGTTCTCTCCTTCCCCATTCAAAAACTGTTCTCAGATCCTTAGGGAAGCAGAGAGAGCTCTGACAGGCACCTCTGGTTACCTTCCCCAGGAGGTGATGGTTATGTGGTAAGTTTTCCCTGCACACCAAGGAGAGGAAATGAAAACCTGCAGAGTTGGCAGGTGTGTGGTTCAGGAAAGCACTTAAACATGTGCATAAAGTTAAATGTGTGGCATAAAAAAGTGGTTCATGTTCTCTCTCAGAAAGACACAGTAATAATTCTGACATCAGAGATCAAACATTCAAAATTCTATCCTTGTACAAAGCCTTGTCTACAGTATAAGAAAAAGTGTGATTTAAAAAAAATCAAGTTATCTAACCTGATTTGAAACTCCACTTAACACTTAATATAGTTTTAACACCTTTAAAATAAGCTATGTTAGTTAGCTGTGGTATACCCTAGGGAAGAATCTGGATTATAGCAAGACCAACTAGACAATGTATCGACAAAGGTATTAAACTATTTTATGCTAGGTGCTAAGTGATGTTTCAAATCAGGTTAGATAATTAGATTTTTTTAAAATCCCCCCTTAGCAAGACAAGATTTAAATCAAGTAAAGCATTCTTTGTAACAATCTTATTCCAATAGGCTGCTAGTCTATACTAAATTGGTGAGTAAATGAGTAATCTTCATAGTGAGGATTCACATTTGATTTTATGGTGGTGCTGTCGGCTGGTCTCAGAAAGAGATCCAGTAGGAAAGTACTGTAGCAATCTGAACAAGAGGCAGGATGTAACAGACAAAATGGTTGGGATCCTCAGAGCTTGAGAGAGGAAAAATAATCTTATAGCTAAAGAACAGGACTGGGAGTCAGGAAATATGGGTTCTTATCTTCATAACTGCCATGGATTTTGCATGATCTAGGGCAAATTACTTAATTTATATGAGTCTAAACTCATCAATGGATTAATAATACTTAGGTACCTCATAGGGGTGCTGAGTTTCAAATAACATTGTAAAGCACTTTATCATTCTTGTGAAAAGTGCTTAGGAACCCAAAGAACTCTTCTTATGTCTGTGCATACCAGTCGATCTATTTGCCCTTTTTTACTGCTTTACCTTTCACCACAGCTAGCATAGATCCCCTCTCCACCATTTGTGTGTTCCCACCTTGAGCTTGGATGCAGGAGAAAGTTTGTTTCTCAACTTGTGTACCCCAGTTACCAATCTGCAAAATAACTATACTTCCTCTCCTCTGTCCTTTGTCTTACTGATTTTAGATGGCACACTCTTCTGATTCTTATTATTTGTATATGCAGCAAATAGTAACAGGGTGGTCCTAACTTGACTGGGCACTCAAAGTATGTTCATAACTCAAATTAACATTTCTCTCTTTTAAGAAGACTAGGAGGCTGCGCCCCCTGCTTGCTACGCTTGCCAACCCCGCTCTCTCTGAATGGTTTTGCTTCTCTGAGAGAGCCCATTGACAGTGATGACATGATGACAACATTCTCTTGTCCTGCAGGAACATTCTGTTGTCTGGCAGGAGAAGCTTTTTATATATATAGAAAGAAAGAACAGTTTTTCCTGCCGGGTGACAGAATGTTCCTGCCGGGTGACAGAATGACATCATCAGCGTCAACAGGCTCTCTCAGCAAAGCAAAAGTGGCCAGAATGGGGGAGGGGTAGGTAAGAGTGAAAGAGAATTCCCCCAGTGACACTGCGAGGCCGGGGGAGAAGGCGGTGCTGAGGCTGGCCTTGGCTCAGTTTGGGACAGCCCGTTACAGTGAGCGTTGGCTGGAGTGCGCAGAGCTTGCTGCTGGGGGAGCCAAGGGAGCTCAGGGCGCTGCAGAGAGGAGGGGAAAGCCCGGCCCAGCCATAGTCCAAGCTGTCACAGCGTGGAAAAGCCCTGGGCACAGGGCAGCGACCACACCACAAAGGGCTCTTTGTGCACGGCCTGCCACGCTTGCAGATGAAGCTGAAGCAGAAGGAGCCCCGGGGGCAGCATGGTCCACACCGGAGTGGCCTGGGGAACGTGAGCGCAGCAGTAGGACACAGCAAACTCTCTGCTCAGCCTGCTGGCAGCTGCTCGCTCCTGCCTCACTGTGCAGCAGATAGGAGGTTCTGGCACCACCGTCGTGCTTCCTCCCTACGTGGGTTGGGCACGATCGTTATTCGCTGGCAGGCGGCCGACCAGGCAGGAGGCTACTGGGCGGGAGGGGAGATGTTGGGGGCTGTGCAAAGTGCCCCCACCCCTCCCGTGGCCAGAGAGAGCTGAGTGGGGGGGTGCTGCAGAGGCCAGGCTTAGGAAGGGCTTAGAAGGACAGAGGGCATGGGGCGCTGCTGGGGCCAGGCATAGAAAGGGGCTTGCGTGGCACAAGGGCAGGGAATGTAGCAGGGGCCACAAAGACACGGGGTGGGGCCGGCAGGGTGTATCCAAGGGGGCGGGGATGCTGCAGGGCCCAGGAGACACTGCAGGGGTCGGGCATAGGGAGCTTTTCCATGTTGCACCTGCTGACAGCGTGGGCTGCAGTCGGGCTGGGCTTTCCTCTCCTCTGTGCAGTGCTCCAAGCTCCCTCGGCTCCCCCAGCAGCGGGGCGCCACACACTCCAGTCAGCATTCACTGTAACGGGCCATCCCGAACTAAGCCAGGGGCCTGCCTCACCACCCCTCCCTTCCCCAGCATTGCTGGAGAAAGTCTCTCACACACACTCTCTCTCTCTCTCTTAACGTCATGGCCTTTTACTTAGGCCACCAATTAGAGGCTAAAGCTATCTGAAAAGACATTTAAGTGAGAAAATGGTGCTAAATAACAGCATAAAAATAAATTACAGTCACTCATTATTATTAGGCTAAACATTCCAACATTGAGTAGATTTCCTCATTAAACCATCCCTAAATGAAGTGAAGTTCACTGTTGTACTTGTGAACATTTCAGGTTTTCTGTAAGTGATAACTTTAGCTATAGGCATTTCCTTAGGAGCAAGTGGAAAGCAATATAATAAGTACATAATACCATAACTTCCCAGGCCATTCATGAAACTTTCAAATGCCTCTATAAAAAATGTCGATCAAAAATGGCATTATCCCAATACAAACATGATGTAGACATTGAATTACAAACTTGTAGCATTGTCTTTTTAGGGTGTCAAGTTCCTAAATAAACCCACCAATACTACTGTTGGTAGCTAGTTGGAATTCATTGTATGTATTGCAATTTCTGTAGTTGAGAAATGTTGTGTTTTTGTTTTAAAAATAACAGGACATCTCTTAACATTTAGGAAACATTTTTCCACCCTGAAGCACCATAACAGTCTTTTTAAAGCACCTTTAGGAAGGGTGTTAGCTTGATCAACGCTGTGTAGGAAGGAAGGCTCTTTCCTGCTATTTTTTCAGCATGACTTTCACTGACATGATCAGGCTGGGAAAAGACTTATTGGCTGAAAGCCCAGGACAACTATGCAATATCTCAAGTCAACTAGAACTCAAACTATCCTGCCCAAGGGAGAACTGTAACATAAAAAGAATTTAGGTTATAGGCTGGATCTTATAAACATTGTCGAGTTATAGTGTATTTTAAATATTATTTATGTGCATTCGGCTTTATGTGCATTTCTCCCAGATGCTCTATCAGCAAATGAAATGTTGAAAAATTAAACAATTTCTAGACTTTTTCCAAAAATATGGATGTGACTCCCTCTGATCTCACAAATTAGGCAGCTGATTGTTTTTATGTTTATTTAGGAATTAGTCCTTAAGTCCTTACTCAGAGAAAAATCTCTAGTAGTCTTCCATGGGAATTTTGCCCAAGTAAGGACTTCAGAATTTGTCCCATTACTCCGCTTAGAAATTTTTCATCTAGAATTCAGTGACAGTTCCATCTCAGGGTGTGGGAGGTGGAGATCTAAAAATCAGAGGGGAGTTTACTATTATTGTCAAGGTATGAATTGAGGTATACCCTTATTCTGATTTGTAATAGAGGTAGATTTTATTTTCTTTTTCTGCCTTGTTTGTATTTTATTTTTTATGCATATTTAATCTGTTGCCGTTGCTTTAGTCTTTATTGCTATTGCTCAGCTTTAAATTGTTCTCTTGGAGATTTTTAAGCTCATTTGAGTACTGGGAGTTGTCCTACTGAAGACAATATGACTACTTATAGTCAGAAAGTTATACATCTGAATAAGACTTTGCTAGATTGGGGCTTTAGATGGTATATCATTTGTTTAATTATGAAGTGTCCTGTGGCACAGAAGAAAAAACTGCCAGAGCGATTAGACTCTACTGATTATCAGAGTTAAGATAAAAGTTCTTGAAATGTCATGTTTTTTGTTATTGAAACTAAATGTCATTGACTGCTGCCTACCATGACCTTTTCTGTCTTGGGGAAAAAATGGGAGTGAAAGGATATTCTTTCCTTCTGTAAATTCTAAAGACTGACAAGATAGATGAATATGAAATAACAAGTATCTGCAACATTTATATTTTCTAACTTTAATACTATAGTTTTAATTGAAGATCTTAACTTGTGGAGAAAATGGCCATTTATCCATAAACTAGGTTCCAATTCCCCTTGAAACAAGTTTTAAATTATTTTTAGGAAATTTTTATTATTCTTTGTTTAGTATATTTTCAGTACTTGGTCTACTGGAATCTGGGGGGCAAACACCCACCATGGCCTAATCCTTTATATCCATGGCCTGTTAGTATAATCAGAGAGAAAAAATCCTAAATGTGTGGCTTTTATTATTGAGAGTTTCATTATTGTTAACTGACTGTGTGTGACTTTTTCATTATAGGCTTTGATGAGACCTGGACGAATTGACAGGATCATCTATGTGCCCTTGCCAGATTCAGAAACTCGTAGAGAAATATTTAAACTTCAGTTTCGTTCCATGCCTATCAGTGAAGAAGTCTGCTTAGAGGAGCTTGTCCTGCAAACGCAGAAGTATTCAGGAGCAGAGGTAAAACATTCTGTGCTCTGTTAGTGATTGGGGAATGAAAACACAGAGCTGTCCATGTGAAAAAAATATAACATAAGTACCATCAACTTACTTTTGTGATGAGAATTTGAAAGGCAAATTCTTCAGAATGCTGTATGTTTTCTTTGTTTTGTCAGGTACTTTGGAGAGTGCACAGAAAAAATAATATGGCTTTAAGTTGAATTGTCTTTACCATCAAGTGCCCACCACACCAGTGATTCCAAAAAGAAGCCATGGCTTCTTTTGGAAGGGATGGAATGCATAGATGATCCCTGGGAAGTTGTACTGTTGTATTGCAATCATGCCAACAGAGACTTTGCTTTGTGGGATGGGAAAGTTAGTGTGAAGGCACAGGTCTGCTGGATGATTGTCTCTGGCATCTCACCGATCTGTTGGCATCTTACATGTCTGAGGGTGTGCTTCATAGACTATTCCATGTTGAGGGAGAACAACCATGGAATAATGTGGAAGAATCTCTGTGATGAGATAGTTTCAGAGAATTTCTTCCCTAGCACTTCCTCATGGGTTTCTCTGTGGGGCTACATCTATACCAGCGTTTCTTAAACTGTGTTCTGTTCTTTTTTATTTTTTTGCTCAATAACTTCTCCCACACTCCTCTCCCCCCCCCCCTTTTTTTGGCTCAACAAAAAATCCTTGGTGTTCCTCATAAAAAAAAAAATTGTTTGGTGTTTCTCGGTCTTAAAAAGTTTAAGATACACTGGTCTGTACTGCAAAAGTTCTTCTGCAAAAGTTTATACAAATGAAGCATGGCTTAGCAAATTGCCGCACTTCATTTGCATAATTCATTAGCAGCTGTGTTTGCCCAAGAGGCTTTTGTGCAAAAAAGAGCTGTGTAGATGGCTCGTTTTTGTGCAAAAGCCCCCTCTTGCACAAGAGCTGTTCGTCCTCATTTTTTCAGGAAGAACGGTTCTTGCACAAGAGGGGTTTTTTTGCACAAAAGCCTCTTGTGCAAAAACGGCTGCTACTTAATTATGCAAATGAAGTGCAGCAATATTCTACTCTGTGCTTCATTTGCATAAGCTTTAGTGGAAGAAAGCTGCAGTATAGATGTAGCCTGGGAGAGCTCAAGGTAGTCCTATTTTCCAGCATATCAAAGTTCCTATGAAGAAGTCTGCTTTTGTCTGCAGATGCCTCATGGTTACCACACTTATTTCCTAACCAAGAATAGAGGGAAACTCTCGTAGTTAAGATTCTGTTGTGTCATAGTTGTTGATATATATTAGCATTTTAATGGTAACCATGTTGTCTTTGCTTATTAGTCCATTCAGTTTTTCTATAAAACCTATGATCCTTTCCTTATTTTATTTAGTTAAATTATATGTGGGAAAAACATACGTTAAAAGAACGTTATTTCAGTTGCATAGTCAAGAAATGCTAGAATTAAAATTGCCCAGGCCACCTTCATTTGGTCCCCTATGCATGTGCATCAGGACTATGGGTTTTAATTACGTACTATTTTTTTCACAGGCCCTCTGCTTCATTTAGTGAGCAGGTTGGACTTTGTTCTGAAAATGAATCAAGGTTGTGTAGTGAATGAAACTCCCATGTATAGGATCTATGTTGTATTCATTGTGAAAACAAAAAACAAAAACCCAAACCCTGAAAAAAGGGTCTTATAATGGAAAAGGTTGGACAAATTTAATTATAGGCATGTTACCTGCACTGCCAAAAATTAGATTCCATTAGAATATTTACTGCAGATGGAGCTGGTAGTAGCTGCCTCTAGTTGCGGTTGTCTAGTATTTTCTAAGATTCCATTTTCAGTTGCTTATAAACTTGCCTATTTTAAACCATTTAGGCTGAAATTTTATATGTTGTGTGTCATAGAACAACAACAAGAAACCTATTAAAGCCATTAGCTAGCTTGAAATTTCGCGTGACGCCTGGTGTCAGTGATTGCATTTTGCCATCCTTTGTGAAAATTTACCTAAATGTGGCCAAGTTATAGAAATAGAAATTTTGAAAAATGTCTGCTCTCAAGAGTGCAGCTGCTGTGCACAATTCAGAATATTTAGGGGATCCTACTGAATTTGGCATAGCTAACAATTTTAGTGGTGATTTCCTGTAATTTAGCTGATGTTCACAAAGAAGCATCTGTCCCTTAGTGTGGCTTTGTAATGGCTCAAAAGCACAATAAACTAACTTGTCATTGATTGTATCTTCACTATTTGCTGAAAAAACTGTTCTTGGGATACCATTTATCATATTTATGATAGTATTAATTTGGTTTATATTGTTCAGTAAGGTATAATAATAGTGACAGAGGAAAGAGCACACAAAGAACTTCTAAAGTGAGAGTTTCTTGAAAGTGTATGTAATAAGTCTGATGGTTGGCACTGACAGTTCACTGTTTCATTAAGGCCTTTTCTTTCTAGTGTCTCCAGTTTCCAGCTTTACAAATAATTTCCGCTGTTGAATGGCAAGTTCCCATATCCAGTGTTCTACCCTTTTGTATATCAAAGAAATAGGAAACACTTGGTTTTGTGTCTATAAGGTGCGGTATAAATAAGGAGCTTCTTGTAGAGATGTGTTGAACAATTGCAAAATGAGCTGAATAGACAGTGAGTAATACAGATTAATCTGGGTAAAAATAGCACAGCGAGTAATCATGGCATTCATCTGGCCTCCGTGCATGGCATCTTTTCAGATCAGATATTTGTATGTTTTCCCATCAACACTTGTGACCCTCATATGTGTATCTGTTCAGTGTGCGTGTTTCCTCTCTCATAATGAATATATTTATTTTTACATCCTTCTTGTGCCATAGTTAGAGTGCAGGGCGGAAACTCATCACTCTTTGTCATTTACTTAAGAACGTATACATAAATGATATATGAAGATAGTGAGCTAAATAATGTACACTGTGCTCTCATTCGAATGGGCTTGGGCGGGGAAGGGGGGGGGCGTTGTGAAACTTTTGGATAACCAAGCATTCGGATAGACAGAAGTGCTGTTTTGAGCTATGATTTTGCTGATACAGAAATAGAAGAAATGGAAGGAGTAAAGCTGATATTTGCTTGCTACTTTGTACTTTAATAAAGAGGGAAAAAAGCAACTTTACTGAGTTCATAAAAACACCAACATTGTATTATAATTACAGTGGACATAAATTAATTCTAAAATATTTATCTTTTTTATGAAAAAGGATTAATCACAATCTGTTACTTATCACCATTGTGTCCAGGGCTGCAGCACTTCTCCACGGCTCATCCCTTACCTTTCAGATATCACATGAGGTGCAGTTCAAATGTTGTAAATGTGGTGCAACATCAACCTTTTCTCCCCTTTCTAGGACCTTGAGAATCTGTAGTTTCTGCTTTAGAGCCAACTCAGAATGTTTCTTTTTTGACATTATACTGCTGAACTGCTATTGCATCTAAAACAGGACTGAGGCCAGGCCTACATTAAAGGGGAAGTTGAATCAAGATATGCAACTCCAGCTACATTAATTATGTAGCTGGAGTCGACGTACCTTGTTTCAAGTTTCCCTGCCATCCCTTCTCCTTAGCTTTCCTTACTCCTCGCAGGACCAGGAGAACTGCCACCAATGGGGGCACCCTCTGAGTTCAATTTAGTGAGCCTTAATTAGACTCACTAAATTGAACTTCGGAAGATCAATTGCTACAGCATCAGTCTTTGCTTAGTGAAAACATGGCCTGAGTCTCAATAGCTGGAGGTAATAGCTCACAACTGTTGATTATTGCTAATAGACACAAAGTAACATAGAGCTTTATCGGAGACACACTGTGGCTTTGGATAATTAGGATTTTCTTATAAAGGGAATTAGAATAGCTGGAATTGTACTGTATTTTTTCAGCATTTCGTTTGTGAGAACAGACATTATTTATGAGAATATGTGTTTGAAGTTAATCGTGAAGTCCCCTCTTTTCCTTATAAGAGTAATGCTAAAATTAAAAAGCAGTTTATTTAACTGAGAGTTAGTTATCTGTTCAGTTCATATATTACACTATCAGTATTGGACTAAACGAAACCTAATAACTGAACTCTCCTCACCCCCAATCTTTGAGAAATATGGTTTCAAATCTAATCTTAACATCTAGGGCCATTCTCTAATATACATATGCTGATGGCTTTTTAAATGACTACAGTAAATCAAATGGCTATTTGAATGGCTTAAAGTGTTAAATACGATGGTTGAATTCTCCTTTTTTGCCAAGTTATGGAGTGAAGAAGAATAAAGTCTTCTGGGAGCCAGGACCTAAATCTTTGCTGAAGTGTTTTACTTCCCACCCAAGCCAAACTTCTCTGGCTAGCTGCAGCCCTCCTAAAAGCATTTTCCTTTTTTCCTCAGAATTTCAGACAAATTTTTCCTGCAGCTGCCAGAACCAAGATGTTCACAGCATAGGTCTGTCTGCAGCCATGTTGGGCCTGGCTTAACAGAAGTCCCCCTTGCTGCTGCTCTTCGGCTGGATTACAATCTTTCTTAATGTTTCATGTTTCTTGGGGACAGTCAATCCCTTCCACCATTCGCAGATCCATTCTAAAAAGTTTTGCTGACACACTGGGTCAGAGCTGCTGCCTTCTGACCTTGCAGAACCACTGAAAGAAAACTGTGAGACTCCTGCTCTAATTCTATCTTTTTCCTCCCCTCTGTCAGTGTGGTACTTTGCAAGTTTTTGGCAGTACCTTATTTTAGCATCCATACGGTATTGTTGTCTTTTTGTAGAGTGTAAATTTCAAGACCCTAACATCAGAGAATCTGCCTGATGATCTCTTATCGCTATTGAGCATTTTGAAATATGAGCACTTATAACCACAACCCCATCCTCCCCCCCCTTTTACACACCAGGTGACACTGAAATCAGTTTAATTGAATGTCCGTTACTTTGTAATGAAAATTTCTCACACAGTCAGCAGTTTTCTTCAAGCTCCATGTTTTAGGAATATGTAGTGACATATACCTTATGGAAGTTTTTTTAGTATATGGCCATCTCTATCAT